AGGTTATCCATATAGTTTCATATAGTTTATCATAATTATTTTTGTATGAGATTCTTTATTTCTATTTTATTGTTGTAATTTCTCCATTTTCATTTGTTATTTTGCTTATTTGTTCTGTCTCTTTTTACTTTTTTGTGAGTTTTCCAGAGGTTTGTTGATTTTATTTACTTGTTCAAAAGACCAACTTTTGGTTTGATTGAATTTTTCTATGTTTTTTTAAAGCCTCATTTTATTTATTTCCTCCCTGATCTTTAAAATTTCCTTCTTTCTGCTGCCTTTTGAGGATTTTTACTCTTCTTCTTCTAGTTCTTTTAGTTTTTGGAGTAGATTGTTTAGTTGAGATTGCTCTTCTTTTCTGAGGAAGGCCTGTATCGCTATAAACTTCCCTCTTAGCACTGCCTTTGCTGTGTCCCATAAATTTTGTGTGGTTGTGCTTTCATTTTCACTTGTCTCAAGGTAGCTTTTTCATTTCAGCTTTGATTTCCTCATTTTCCCATTGACTTTTTAATAGCATATTGCTTAATCTCCATGCTTTCCTTTTGTTCTCCTTTGTTTCTATGTAGTTGATTTGTAGTTTCATGGAATTGTGGTCAGTAAAGATGCTTAAGATAATTTCTATCTTCTTAAAATGTTGAGGTTTCTTTTGTGCCCAAGTACATGATCAATCCTAGAAAATGTTCCATGTGCAGATGAAAAAAACGTATATCCTATTTTTGGGGGGGTGTAATGCTCTGAAAATATCCACCAAATCTTATGTTTCTATTGCATTATTTAGTTTCTCTGTTGCCTTATTTATTTTCTGCCTGGAAGATCTGTCTAGTGATTTTAATGTGGTGTTAAAATCTCCAACTATGGATTGTATTCCCATCAATATCCCCCTTTATCTCTGTTAGTAATTGCTTTATGTGTTTAGGTGCTCCTCTATTCGGTGCGTATATTTTAATAAGTGTAATATCCTCATCTTTTATCACTCCTTTAATCATCATAAAATGTACTTTTTTATCTTTCTTTATGGCCTTTGTTTTAAAGTCTAATTTGTCTGAAATCAGTACCGCAACACCTCCTTTTATGGCTTTTCCATTTGATGGAATATCCTTTTATATCCTTTCACTCTCAATCTATATGTGTCTTTCTCCCTAAAGTGGGTCTCTTGTAGGCAGCATATTCAAGGTTCTTGCTTTATTATCCAGTCTGCCACTCTATGTCTTTTAACTAGAGCATTTAGTCCATTAACATTTACAGTAATTAATGATAGATGTGTGTTTATTGCCATTTTGAACTTATTTTTGCAGATGATTATGTATTACTTCTTTGTTCCTATCTTCTTCCTTTTTTTGGTTGGAAATTTTCTTTATAATATCATGGATTTTGTTTAGTTTTTATGACTTCCTTGTAAACTTTTGAATTGTGGTTACCCTTTTCTTTAAGTCTATTAGCCTATTACTATATCTTGAACCCATCCTACTGAAAATCCAACATTTAAAAAAGAAAGAAAAAAATACTTTATATTTTCTTGCTTCCCTCTCCAACTCTTAGTTATTTAGATGTCTTCTTTACAATTTCGTGTTTATTTTATTTGTAATTCATGAGTCATCACCTTTCTTGTTGTGAGTTTCTCATTTCTGTAGCATCCTACTGCTTTTTGATTTAGAGTAGAACTTTCAATATTTCTTTTAGCACGGGTATAGTGTTGCTAAACTCTTAGATTTTGCTTCTCTATGAAATTCTTTATCTCTCCTTCTATCTTAAAGGATAGCCTTGCTGGATAAAGTATCCTAAGCTGCATCTTTTTTTTCATTCAGGACTTTGAATTTCTCTTGCCACTCCCTTCTGGCCTGTAGTGTTTCTGTAGAGAAATCAGCTGAGAGCATTATGGGTGTTCCCTTGTAACTCACTCTTTGCTTTTTTCTTGCTGCCCTTAGGATCATTTCTTTATCCTTGACTCTGTCCGTCTTAATTATGTTATGTTTTGGTGTGGTTCTGTTTGAGTTCTTCCTGTTTGGGACCTTTTGAACTTCCTGTTCTTGGATATATGACTCCTTCTTTAGGTTTGGGAAGTTTTCAATCATGATTTCTTCAAAAACCTTTTCAATCCCCTTTGATCTTTCTTCCCCTTCTGGGACCCCTATTATGTGAAGATTGGCATGCTTTATATTATCCCATAAGTCCCTTATGTTGCTTTCATTTTTTTTATCTGTTTATCATGCATTTGTTCTGATTGGGTGCTTTCTGTTGTCCTGCCTTCTAGGTCACTAATTCATTCCTCTGCATTATCTAGTCTGCTTTGCACAGCCTTTAGATCAGTTCTTATCTCAGCCAATGACTTTGCCAATTCTTCTTGTCTCTTCTTTATAGCTTTGATTTCATTTTTGACATATTTTATATCTCTTTTAGTTTCTTCAGTACTTTGATCACTCCTCACTCCTTTTTTGAAATCTTGATCTAGTAGGCTCTCGATGTCTATTTCATTGATCTTTCTTTCAGGGTTTTCTCTTGTTCTTTTAGTTGGGAATGCTTTCTCTGCTTTTTCATCTTTCCCATATCTCTATGGCACTGTGGCTTATGGAGTTTCAGTTATCTATTTTGCTCCTTAAAGGAGTTTATTTATTTATCTATCTAATGCCTATGTAGGAATAAAACAGATTTTGACACCTTTGGCTTTTGAAGAGGACAATGTTCTGTTGGGGCTCCACAGGTTCTCTGCTTGGCTGACTGGGTCCGTGGATGTGAGTCTTGGTGTATCTGTGGGAAAGGGTGAGCTACGTGTATCCTACTACTCCACCATCTTGGCCTCATCCTCCACGGCTGCCTTTAAAATTCTTTATTTGTCATTGACTTTTGACATTTTTAATGTAATGTGAAGTGGAGACAGTCTTTTTCATTGAGGTAATTAGGTGTTCCCTTAGCTACATGTACCTGTATGCTCAATTCCTTCCACAGGTTTGGGAAATCCTCAGCTATAACATTTTTAAATAACTTCTCTGCTCCCTTCTCTCTCTTCCTCCTGGGATACACATTACCTGAATTTTACCCCTCCTAAAAGAGTCAAATAGATAATGTAGAAATTCCTCATTTTTATATCTTATTTCTCTTTCCTATCCAACTTGTATCATTTCTAGATTTCACTCTTTGAGTTCATTAATCACTCTCATTAGTCTTTCCTATTTCCAAAACTTTCTAATCATTCTTCATTTTGTTTATTGAGTTCTTTATCTCCAGAACTATTGTTTGCTTCTTTTTAGAGTTTTAGTGCCTTTGGTAAAATATTCTCACTGTTCACTCATCATTCCTACGTTCATTAACCTGCCTTTGTGTGAGTTACCTTGTAGTTCATGACAGCTATTTAAAATTCTCTATGAGTTAGATTTTAAGTTTGCTTTCTGAATAACTGTTAGTCTTTTTGTAATATAATATCATTTTATTTCTCAATAAATTGTTTGCTCATGATACTTGATGAGTTGTTTTTCTGCCAGCACATTTGAAGTAAAATCACTCGTTAGAAATTGAAGTCATTTCTTTTGTTTTCCTGTAGGTAGCACTATACACAAGTTTTTGTTTCTCTTACTTGAGCTTCTGTAGTTATATTTGAGAGATGGCACTCTGCAGCCATCAACACCACTGTAAGTGGTGTAGATCTATCCCTTTGTTGTTACGTGTTTTGTCTTGAATCATTGCTGACTTGCTTCTGTCAGAGCTGTTGTCATCACTGGGACAGTGGGTTCTTCCATTGGATCTTTAATTTTCTAAGTAACAAGGTCTGCTGCTGTGAGGGAAAGAGATAGTGGGAAAGAGATGGTGGGGAAGAGCTGGGGTGTCCCAGGCACCTCTAATGTGCCCAATGTTTTAAAGTTTGCTGGCTCTGCCACTATGGATATTGGTTGGGTACTGAGCTTATTGGTGCCTCAGTGGATGGATGGAGAGAACCTCTGTCACTGTTACCCAGTTATCTGTGACCACAGGCATCACTGCAGTGAAGAAGACCGTAATGTGTGCTACCTTTCCTGATACTACTGTGTTCACTGAACCTGCCAGCTCATCTGCCACAGTCAGAAAGCCAGGATTTCAGACACTGACTCCACTATTCCCTCAGTTTCACCTCATCTGTGTGTTCCAGTCTATCCACTTTTAGATGTATACATGAATGGAATTCTCCAACAACCTTGTCCATTGAGCAGAAGTACCTTTGTTGAGTTGTGGATATTTTATCAAGGTTGTACATTGAAGGGGATAGGGAAAGGAAGCTTTTCACTTGGGTAGCCATATGGCTGATGTCCAGAAATTTAAAAAATAATAATAATATAATGCAAGTCTAGATTTGAAAAGCAGAAATGAAATTTTAAAATTCAGTAGAGGGGCTTAAGAGGAAATTAGAATTGGCAGAAGAACTTGTGAAGTTGAAGAGAGATTGATAGAGATTATGCAGTAAAAAGACAGAGGGAAAAAATACTGAAAGAAAAATGAACAGGAATTGAGAGAAATGTAGAATACAGTTAAGTACACCAATATATGCATAATAAGTATACTGAGGAGGCAAAGGAGCACTGAAGAGGAGACAGAAAAGAGTAGAAAAACTATTCAAAAAAATAATGACTGAAAACTTCACAAACTTGTTTGAGAAGACTAATGTACATATTCAGGACTATGAAGACTATGAACAAACTCTAAGTATGATTAACACAAAGAGATTCACAGCCACGTATTAGTAAAAATGTTGAAATCCAAAGACAAATAGAAAATCTTATAAGCAGTAAAAGAACAATGACTCATTACTTTCAAGGGAATACCTGTAATATTAAAACACTACCAGAAGGCTGTATGATGCCATATACAAGTGATTCTTTTTCTTCCTAACAAGAATTCTGTATCTGGCAAAGTTATCTTTAAAAAATGTATGCAAAATAAAGAATTTCTCTGATAAAGAAAAACGGAGAGAATTTGTTGGTTGCAAACTTGCCTTAATAGGAATAGGAAAGAACCTTCAGGCTGAAAGTGATCCTACACAGTAATGAGAACACACAGACACAAACACACACACACACAGACCCACACACACACGTTGGGAAAAGTAACTTTTTAGTTACAGAAGATAATATAAATGGATGTTTCTTATTCAGCTGTTTTAAAAACAACTGAATAAAATAATATGTATATAATAAGTTGTTCACCCAAAAAAATGAAATATATTTTCCAATAACAGCACAAAGGGAGTGGTTAGAAGTAAAGCTGTACTGGTATAAGAAAACAGTAGATGGTAATTTAAATCCACAGGAACAAATTAAGAGAACCAGAAATTATATTGAAGGAATCATATATCAAAAGCTCTAAAAATAGAATTGCTTTCCTTTCTTCTCTTAACTTTATTAAATTTTTAAAAACTCTATTAATCATAAAAATAACAATTTGTGTATATATATTTATATATATACATATAGATATATATAATCACAAAAAGAGAGAAAATAGGGCTATATAGAAGTTGCATTTATATATAGCATTGAAATTAAGTTGTTATAAATCTGAAGCTGCTTCTAAAAAAGAAAGTTTTATATTGTAATCTATAAATCTAATACTGAGGAAATAATTTCTTTTAATTAGGTAATAAAAGTATTAAAAATCTAAAATGCTACTTCAGAAAATATACAATTAATTAAAATAATGTATAAAAGGAAGAACAGAGAAAGGAAAATTATATACTACATTAATGATGTCAATAAATATAAAGATAACAACTTAATCATGACAAAATTAGTAATCCAACAGGAAGACATAACAATTATAAACACAATGCACTTTTAAGAAAATTGCAAAACACTTGTAGAAAAACATGAACGAAATGAAGGAAAACAGATAATTTAACAGTAATAATTGAAGACGTTAATAGTTTTTTTTAAATTAAGGGTAGAACAAGTAGGTGGAAAATCAATAAGTAATATATTTTAAGCACACACCTTAGCTAATTAGATCTAATAGATATCTATAGAGGACAACAACAACTACAACAAAAACAAAACAGCAGAATATACATTCCTCTCAATTGCACATGAATCATTCTCAAGATTGTTTATACAGTAGGCCACAACATCAGCCCAGATAAACTTAAAAGGATTGAGTTAATAGAAAGTACATTTCTGACTTCAATGGAATGAAATTAGAAACCATTAATGGAAAGAAAATTGGGAATCACACAACCCTAAACAAAACTATGCCAAAGATGAAACAAAAAGGAATTTTAGAAGGTATTTTGAAATGGATGAAAGTGAAGACACACATAAATATATTTATGGCATGCAGCTTAAGTACTTTATAGAGGAAAATATGTAGCTGTAAGTAAATGTTAGTTTAAAAGATTTCAAACTAATAACCTAACTTTGTACCTTAAGATGTTGAAAAAATGAGCAAACTAAACATAAAACAGGCAGAAAGAAGGAAATTTTAAAGATTCCAACAGAGATAAAATAAGAAATAGAAAAACAATAGGATAAATCAATGAAATTAAAAACTGATACTTCAAAAAGATCAGTAACATTGACAAACCCATAGCTAGATTTATCAAAAAAAATAAAGAAATAAAATTGAAATTACTTGAATCAGAAATTAAAGAGAAGGCATCACTACAGATCTTATAGAAATAAAAGAGAATATAAAGGGATATTAACAAGCACCGTTTAGAAATAAATTAGATAACAAATTAAATAGATACCAAGAATGTCTGAAAATACCAAAACTTAAGAGGAAATAGAAAATAAGGATAAATCCACAATTAAAGAGGAGAAATTAGTAGTGAAATCCTATGCAGAAAGAATGACTCAGTCCATAAAGTTTCACTGGTAAATTTTACAAAGTTTTTAGAGAAACTACTATGAAATTTTTTGTAAACTCTTCCAAGAAATAGATGAGGGAACATTCTCTGAGTTCATCATTACACTGATACACCATGCAAAGAGACTACAAGAAAAGATAGCACAGCTCTTTAACTCTCATGAATATGAATATAAAAATCCACAACAAAATACTGGCACATCAAATCTAGCAACAAATAAAAAAATCTTTCTTCTTTCATACTATATGCATTAAATGCTACAAATTTCTGTCTGCTTTGGTGCATTCCACAAATTTTATGTTGTGTTGTCATTTGCACTTAGTTAAAAATATTGTTAAAATTTTCCTGAGATTA